GATTGATTGCTTTCGCCATTTTGGACATAAGGAGGGCGTCGTAGCCGTAATACCCGGTATTCATGACCTCTTTGGGTGTGTCGGCGTTCACTTGCAGCCAATCACCGAAATTATTGTTCACTCGTTTTGTCCATATATAGGACGGGTTTTGGGTTCCGATGTAATCCATCCATCCATATTTAAATTATTATGTATTCATCAGCTATCAATTCTTAGAAATGTACTTGTGTTTATAAATATTAATTAGATAATCATACTATAAAAAATCAAGTTTTCATAAAGTCAAAAAGCATTGCACGTCAATATTCATTGCCGACGTTTGCAGTATTAGTAATAATAAGTAATAATTTGCATAAAAAGTAATAACATCCATACCTTCATAGTCTGTGGGTATTTGATCTCGAAATTGATGTCACATTTTGGCTCAACATTTTCCAACACAGCCTTCAATGTCTCAAAGGGCTGATTGTCCTTATAGTCAAAGTCTTTGCTCTCAACAGTACTGATCTATTTTAATGGCAAATGTTTTGTAAGAATTTCGGCAAACTTGCTATAAGTTTGTGATAAATTTGCTCACTTTTGTCATCTGAGAGTAATCGATATCACAGACAGAGATGCGTTGCTTAACAGAATCGTTGCCTTTATTCTGATAATGGGATGCAAACCACAAAACAATATAATATTCACTAACATTATAAATGGTATGTGAATTATTAGAACTGTGTTTGTATGACCTATCTCATACAGTTAGTTTTAGTACATTATAAACCAATTAATCCGAGATAACTGTTGAACGACATATTTGTGGAAAGTTTTAAATGTGATCTAAACCTGAATGGAAATACTTATCAATTTATTGATTACAATAATGCTTTTGTTATACATAATGTCTCTCTAACTATGACATCCTATTCCACTTTTACTGTTACAGGAATAATACCAATTTGAGATAGGTGTATGCTAAATGGAAATTATGTATTATATTTATAACTAATTACAACTAATATTATATAATTTAATATAAAATACAATTTATTAATAACATTATTAATAAATGTAATGTTATACAATGTTATTTTATAATATCAGTTATGTTCAGGAACTTGGAGACTTTATAACACTACTGTATAAACAGCTTAACAAGTACAATTTCATAGAGTAAAGTACAATCAATCACTGTAATTATCACATCATACTCTAGATTTACAAATTCACTTTTATTGACTTACTCTTCATTTAATAAATAGTTAACTTGGTTAAAAATTTTATAGGCAAATTGTCACCACACAAGTGCTTTGAAATAACAGCTTGTCAAATCAATCAAAAAATATAATTTGATAATAAATTATAGCAAACATTTTTCGTGAAATTACATGAAACAAAATAATTTATTTGTATTTATTAAAAACGGTAAAATAGCATAACATGAATAATTGGTTAAACTATGTCATTTTTATTTTCTAACATTAAATTAAACAAATGTATTCATAAATATATTGAGTTATTCTCTCATATAAGACTAGTAAACACTTTTCATATAAAAAACACTATTCTGTAATCAAATGCATACAAACCGATATATCATTTGAAAGGTTATATGAGTTTGCATTAAAACCGATGAAAAATATACTAGTTTTTTGTGAGATTTTTCAAATGAGTAGCAAAGTATACATTAATGTAAGCGTATATTCTTTAGGCACTTGTATACACATATATAAAAAATCTCAAAAAACAGAGTACTTATGTATTGTTAAAATAATAATAAATAGTATTGAATANTTCAATAATATGTTTAGATTTTTATATATAAATATAAAGCAATAATTCAAATGACTTCATAAAATAGTTGTCGTCATTTGGCTTTTCAAATAAATTGAATAAAACTTTTTTATTTGTTGTTTTATTTTTGGCATTTAATGACAATATATTAATAGAATAGAATTTGAATTAAATGTCATTTTATTGACTCGAATAACATTTTTATATTTATATTAAGTCTAACAGAAAACGCGATTAAATGACAGAAAAGTACTGAAGAATACGTAAGGACTTAGTAGTGAGGGGTCATTGAAAGTCATTGTAATTTAAACGTCAATCCGACTACAGGTTCGGCTAAATATAGTTTTTTTAGAAAACTCTAAATTTTGTGTAAAAAACAAATCTCGTTAATTTGATTCCGAGTGAGTGTTATATTGATGTCTGAGTCACTCTTATCCCATAGTTTCTCATGTGATGTCTAAACTAGTGTTAAGTTGAGAGTAACTATAGATATATTGGATATATTGGCACAAAACCTCCTCCACAGAATAATTGTCGAGTAGCTATATATAGATTCTGTATATGAAATAAAAAATACAGTACATTAACAATTATGAATATATTCTACAGATTATAATATTAGAAAATATTAGTTTGAATTGTGGGGTTTGACCAAAAGCCCAGATTCTGTGCTATTTATGTTATGAAATTTAAAAACTAAAAGGAGATGTGTATTGTATATCATAAGCGCCTGTATATCACTGCTCTAAAGATATTTCAAGAATAAAGTGTATGTATTATATGAACACAACATTTCTAAAAGTGTTGCATCTGTTGACAAACTTATATAGGATTAGGAAATCGCTAAATTCGTCGAATATATCAAATTATTTGTGTGCTGACTAAAAATTAATATTTTAAATACATAAGACATAAGCCATGGTTTTAAATGTCACACAACGGAATGTCTTCATTTTTCTATCAGATCTGAAACATAAGCACTGAATAAGTTATATTAACCCAGTTCATAATACAAAGCTAAGAATAAGTACCATAATAGAAGTAGAGGTCTATATTCTTACTAATCAAACAATGGTTTATTTAATCAACAAATTTTACAAATTTTTCATTAGAAAAGTACAAATATAAGCAATAGATGAGCAAATCATGAGCTGTTGATCACTCGAAGCTCTCCAACTGCAAGGGTTCGTGTCTATAGTGGTTATCTCCGGTCGCAAACTCTGAAACCGTATTTCCAGTGCCATTAATAACCCATTTGGTAGTCAACAGTCCCTGCATTCCGACGGGTCCTAAAAATAAATGCACACATAGTTTGCATTTATGTTATTAAAGTCTACTAAAAATCAATACCTCTGGCGTGAATACGACCGGTTGATATACCGACTTCAGCGCCTAAACAAATAGTTAATACAAATACAAATATTTGATAAATAAAACAATATAATGGTTACTAAAAATAAATATCATTTGATTGAATGACAAAAATAACATTTAACTGCCTTGTATTAATATACTGTACATATTAAATAATACTGAGATATTATTAATAATTTTATTTGAGTGTTTGCTTAATAAGCATATAAAAGTTGGTAATAATACCTAAACCAAAGCGATATCCATCAGCAAAACGAGTGCTACTGTTATGGAAAACACAGGCGCTATCAACACCTTTCTGGAAGAGATGTGCGGCTGAACCTAATGTTCAATGAAATGCCAAATCAAGCGAATGAATGAAAGTTGTAAAACATTCTCTATTAATAACTGTCAGCAAACATACCGTCTTCAGTTACTATGGTATCCGTGTGTCCGCTCCCGTATGTGTTGATGTGCTCAATGGCATCGTCCACGTCGTCCACAATCTTATTTATTAACGATATTAGCAATCGGTTAATCACTTTTTAGATGTATTACAAGCGATTTGTTTGTGACAATACCTCTATAGTACAGGCCAGAGATCCATATTCTGTGCGCAATGACTTAGCGGGTGGCGGACCAAAGGTTAACTTCGGTGAAAAAAATTAATAAACAAAAACTTTGTATTGACTATATTTAAATTAATGAATCTATTAAAGTAAATTGTTAATAAATTTTGAGATATTATTAATAATTTTATTTGAGTGTTTGCTTAATAAGCATATAAAAGTTGGTAATAATACCTAAACCAAAGCGATATCCATCAGCAAAACGAGTGCTACTGTTATGGAAAACACAGGCGCTGTCCACACCTTTCTGGAAGAGATGTGCGGCTGAACCTAATGTTCAATGAAATGCCAAATCAAGCGAATGAATGAAAGTTGTAAAACATTTTCTATTAATAACTGTCAGCAAACATACTGTCTTCAGTCACTATGGTATCCGTGTGTCCGCTCCCGTATGTGTTGATGTGCTCAATGGCATCGTCCACGTCGTCCACAATCTTATTTATTAACGATTATTAGCAATCGGTTAATCACTTTTTAGATGTATTACAAGCGATTTGTTTGTGACAATACCTCTATAGTACAGGCCAGTGATCCATACTCTGTGCGCAATGACTTAGCGGGTGGCGGACCAAAGGTTAACTTCGGTGAAAAAAATTAATAAACAAAAACTTTGTATTGACTATATTTAAATTAATGAATCTATTAAAGTAAATTGTTAATAAATTGAGAAATACTGTAGAGGACAGTCGTGGGCCGGCATATATGGAGACGCCCTCCTCTTTTAGTTTATTGCAAAGAGTGGCAAAAAATTCAGTTTCAATCAGAGACTTATGCAATAATAGGGTTTCCATTGCATTACAAGCGGCCGGATAATCGCATTTTGAGTCGCGAACTAAACATTCAATACAACAATACATATATTTAGAAAGCTTTCAAATGTTTTTCAAAATGCTAATATAGTAACCGATTTTGAGGGCCTTATTCTTGTCGGCATTGATGTCGACAAAGACGTGACAAATGCCTTCGCTGTGGCCCAACACTGGTATTGATTTGCTCTGAGCCTGGATGTCGCGAACCAATTCGTTAGAGCCCCGGGGTATCACCAAATCGATACTGTTTTCGAGTTGTAATAACTCACTCACGTCTTCCCTATTGTTCACCTAAAGCCAAACACTCGACCCATTAATCTGTGCCAATAATAGTCAATAAGCAGTTGGAGTGCCTACCAGTCCAACGGCAGTCTCGGCTGAATCGTAATGCGAGAGCGCCTCACGAATCAGATTATAGAGACAATTGTTTGTATGAACGGCTTCTTTGCCACCTTTGGCTAACAGTCCGTTTCCTGTGGCTATGGATAGGGCGGCCACTTGGGGCAGACAGTCGGGACGTGACTCGAATATCACTAACAGTACCCCCAATGGGACTGTTATTTGTTTGAGTTGTATACCGTCTGCAATCAAAGTGTGGCGCAAACATTGGCCTAATGTGTCCTGGGATTGACTCGCGATTTGTACCAATCCTTCCGATAAGTCTTTCAACTTTTCAGTCGTCAGTTTGAGTCGAGATAACAGTGGTTTCGAAAGACCTTTAAAATAACGTTTCATATTTGCAACAATTGTTTAAATATTTAGTAAATTAATTACCGGAAGCCTCGGCTTCTCGGAGATCGGCGGCGTTGGCGACGAGAATCTCGTCTTTTTTTGTTTGCAATAGATTTGCGATCCTTATAATGATGTCAGACCTCTGCTCGGGAGTCAGTGATTGCAGAATACGACTGCCTTTTCGAGCTATAAATGATTGACACGTTTTTTGTGAGTTTCAGACATAAATCAAAAGTGAGGCGAGAAATGGAAAAATTGATAATAAAATAGAATTTCATAAAAGAGACGAGAATTAGAAAAATGTGAATCAATTCTCAATTCTTTAAAAAACGCTGATCTGTATTGAGAGACAACACATCATACGATAAATACTTTATGGAAAAAAGTTTAATAAAAAAGTCTAGTTTTGACAATTAGACGGAAATATAAGTCATACGAATTGGGAACTCAAATGTTTATGAACTAAAGCCTCTGAAGATTTGATAGACTCCCCGATGAATAGCGAGGAACTCATATATGAGACAAGAATTCCGACTATTTATCAAATCCTGAATTAAAGAACAAAATACTGTTTGTTATGTCGACTAAAATGGGGAAGAAATTCGCGAAATGGTATTCATTTGAGCAAAAATAAAACTCATTGGAAATGACTTTTGAAGCAAATCCGTCAAAACTTTCCTCTCAAACAATGAATTTCTAACAAATAGAGTGTCTTTTGTTTTCTATTTGTTTCTATAATTTATTGTTTCCTCAAATGTTTAGAGCTCTTCAAAGGCTACAAACAAATTCAAAACTAATCACAACTACAATCGTTTCTTACAAATCAAAACATGAAAATGTGCCAAAAATGTAGATCACTGTACACTACGGTACAGTATCATAAATATTGTATTATATAAATACCCATAGAAAGGCGCAAGGTCTCTAGCCAAGCTAAAATTTCATATTTGAAATTACAAAATACTGTTGCTGTTTTAAAATTGTTTATATTTTAAAGTTTTTATAATTATGTAAATATTTATCAATCTATTGGACTTATTTTTAAAAGTTACACATTTCTGTCAATAATAAGACCCTTTGGATGTGAACACACCCTCTGCTAAACGAAAGTAACAAACAAACCATTGCCACCAATTTATATGCATTTACTAAATCATATACTACATCAAATCAAGGCAATCGTCAAATAAATTTTTTACTTTAATTTAAAAACTAATTTAAATAACTTTATGCTAAATAATATTAATTATCTTAATTATAATCATTGACAAATTATCTTTTAAATGCTTTCAAAGCATTTAATATTTCTTAACATAACAACTTTGTTTCATTAATAGGTTAGTTTCACGAAACTTGAGTTTTTGTTTCAAAACTTTTAGCAGTAAGCTTAATATACATGAATAACTTAATTAAGAATTATGTAAACTATTTTAAATTATACCTCAAATATGCAAATTCATTAGCATTTCTTATTATCTCTTAAACTATTCATCAAACTCTAAATGAATCCGTAAAGAAATATAAACTTAGAAATGTTTTAATTATGTTTTTCACATCAATTAGACTTGTCTTTGGTTTCAAAGTTGAGTTAAATATTTCACTTTTATTTTTAGCCTCAAAACACTTTTTCTTTATGAGTAAAATTATTTCTTTATTTTTCTTTAAAATAATAAGAGTTTTTGATTGAAATTTAAAACAAATAATAAATTTTAAAAATAAGTAAATATTGGTTTAAAGGCAATCAAAGCGAATGACAAATAAATCTAATTACTGAATTGATCGAAATTACT